CTTATTAGCCTCGCCGCCGCCGCCGCCGCCACCGTTTGCGGCCGCCTCAGCCTTTTTCGCCCGGGGGGGAAGGAAGTGGAGCGGGAGGGGGCCCGGGACCGGAACGGGAGGGGAACGCCAGGCCGGGCCGTTAAAATAAATAAATAATAGTAATAATTATAATTATTATTATTATTATTGGGTGGTGAGTGGCCTGGCTTTCCCTCACCGCCTTCTGAAGGGAGGGGGTTTCTGAGGAGAATTTTTTGGGGGGCCCAGAAGCCCTTATTTCCACCCCGGGTGGGGCAGTTAGCGTGGAGGACACCCCCACCCCCATCACTTTCTCGTGAAGCTCTCTGAGGGAAAAGGCGGTGGTTCGTTCTGAGGGCATTTGTGTGAGGGAAGCTGAGGGACGAAACAAAACGGGGGGGGGGCGGCGGCTCTTTTCATAAATTTTTAGGAGAGTTCCTCTTGCTCCCCCCACGAAAACAAAAGCCATATCTGGAGAAATAACGCTCCTGCTTGTCAGTGTATTATTTTTTTTTTGTTGGGGGGGCTTTGCCTTCCCTCACTGGATACCCCTTGAAGTGGGTAGCCCTTATTCTTTTTTTAAAGAAATAATGTGGTAGTGTGTGTGGGGGGGGTTGAAGAGAATCAAGGGTAATCAAAGGTGCCTCTTTTAGAGCTAGAGGTTTTTTTTTTTTAATTTTAAGAGGCATTTGCCTTCCCTTCTTTTTGGGGTGAAAAGGCACCCCCAATTTCTGGTTTAGTCGATTTGTTGATTGATTGATTGGCTTGGGAAATCAAAATCCACACCAGCTCCAGACATACCCCCCCCTTTTTCCCAAATTGCTGTCTGGATCTTTTCTCTGATAGTGACGAGCCAGAAGGGTTTTGGGGATCCTTAGGGGGTGGGTGGGGGTGGGTTGGAAAAAAGGGAGCCCGACAAGGAAGGTTGGGTGCTAAGAGGCCGGCTAGAGTAGGGTTGCTGCTGCTGCCGCCTTTCTTTTTTTTTTTAAATAATTGCTGCTGCTGTTCCTGCTGCCAATTGCTGTGAAAGAAGGAAGAGGAAGAGTAAGAGAGAGAGAGGCACACAAGGCACCATTTGCTGCCACCACCACACCGGCTTCAGCCATGGAAAACGCGCACACCAAGACGGTGGAGGAAGTGCTGGTTTACTTTGGTGTCAACGAGAGCACCGGGCTCAGCTTGGAGCAGGTCAAGAAGCTCAGGGAGAGATGGGGTGCTAATGGTAAGTGGGGAGCCAGCCACGATCCCCTTGGTTTCGGGGGAGATGCGGCTTGGCATTCCCTCTCTCCTTCCTTCCTGCTTCTCTCTCCCCCCCTCCCTTTCTCTCATCCTTCCCTTGGGGAAAAAGGAATCATAATTATTATTATTTTTCCCCCTCTGCCCATCTTTGGGCCTTAGTTTCTCAGAAAGGCTTCGGGGTTGTGTATAGAACCGCACACGATGTACAAAATCTGGCATGTGCTTCAAGATCTGGAATAAAGGGAGGGGGGAAGAGGGAGAGAAGATGGCTGACACACACACACAGTGAAATCTGCCTCGTGGGTTGCTTTCCAGAAGCTGTTCCAACGTGTAAATTTGTCAGCTCACTCTCCCTTTCACATTTACGGAAGGAAGAGGAGCAGCTCTCTTGAGATACTGAGCACCTGAGGGCTGCTCTTTATTTATTGATTTATCTTGCTGTTTCCTTTTTTCCCCATGTTATCAGCTGAAACCTCTCCATTTCTTATTTGACCTTTGTTTTCTTCTGTGTCCGGTGGGGTCCTTTGTCCCTGTTAAATGTTACAGTTGCACTAAAAAGAGAAAGAGAAGATTGTGAGAGAAAAGTGTGTGTGGGGGGAGGCATTGCTTTGTACAATTGCAAAATGGGATTTCAAAGAGGAAATTGTGTCACAGGGATGAAGAGTGGACTGTTATCCTTGGAAAGCATGAAGTATAATATGACATTCTGGAATATGAAGGTTGGGAAGTAAAAAATTGTTCTTTTCCTGTGTGTGGCCTAGGGGAGTTGTGGGGTGGAGGCGTTCTGAGCCTATGAACCTTTGTACAGAGCTGCATTAGAAGTTACATGTGGCAGCCGGCATGACTTGGCTGAATCGCTAACCTCACTAGCTTGATGCTACTTGAGGTAGAAGAAGGCAAGGGTTCTGAGGCCTGCTCATGTCTCATTGAAAGAAGGCAGTTTTAACTGTCTCTGCTTGCCTGTTTTCATGTAATTTATGTTGAAGGCTTGAGTTTTTAAAATGTTTCATGTGGGACTGAAATGAATAACGATAGTTTTCTGCTAATTTCTAATTACATTGTCTGTTTCTTTTTCTTTTCTCCCTGTCTCGCATGCTTCCTGGAAACCTTTCCTTCTTAAAGAGCTACCAGCTGAAGAAGGTAAGCTCTGCAAGCTCATGGTATTTATGATCTTGATATGTGACTCTTCATAGCATTGTATATTTGGTAACTTATGTGTGCATTTTTATCTTGGCAGGGAAAACTTTACTTGAGCTTGTGATCGAACAGTTTGAAGATTTATTAGTTAGAATATTGTTGTTGGCAGCATGTATATCTTTCGTAAGTATCTACTTGTGTCTGGATTTTGTAATTGCCTGATCTGTCACATGTATAGAAATACATTTTTTAAAGATTGTTAAACTGAAAGGTACAAGATGTAGAAAAAAATAACTTAAAATTGGACATTTTGTTTCCTTTATATTAATTCACATACATTCCCATTTGAGTTACAGGGCACAGATGATGATTACAATTTTTCATAGCAAGTTTAAATGCATTGGGTCATTTCTTCAATGGGAGACTCAATTTGCATACCAGTTAAATTATATTGCATGCATTTAATTCAGTTTCTATATTACCCCATTAATATCGCTACTCTCTGGGTAGTTCACAATGTACAATAGAATCATCGACTCAAACGCTGTATAAAATAAACATAAACATACTTATGATATATTTCATCTGTGATCCTGCCAGTGCTCTTGCGTTTTAACCTTGGCCCCAGTAAGAAGGTGAACTAGTATTCTTTCGCAGTTGATTGTTATGAAACTCACTGAGACTGCTGGAGGTCTTTTTTTGGATGCAATGCAAACTGTAAATAGAATTTGCATGGGGGAATATTCCAGTTGCCTTCCCTTGCTGATAATAGCAAGGTGACAGTTGTTGCTCTTGACAGTGACAAGAATGATGACAGCAGTGATGGCACCATTGTTGACCAAATTTGGTAACTGACCTTTGGGAAGCCTCTTGTGAAATAAACTCCTTGGTTTGCATGCAGAATTTTTAGATGGGCCTGTAAAAAGCAGTCCAGGATCCTTATTTTTCCCCCCTTAACAGTGCTTTGAGGGGGGGGCTATTTTGCCTGATGCCAAATGTGCGGTTGTGGAAGAACTAAAATAAAGATCTAAATATATGGGAGCGGTGCTTTTTTATAGTACATGTGATCTGATGGATTGAAAAGGGGGGAATAATTTATTTTTAAAAACAATAATGTTGGATCTGAAATTTAAAGGAGTAAGCACAGTGCAGTTTATAGTGTAGAGAGACCCAGATGTGAATATTGCTTGGACACAAAGCTCATGGTGGCCTTGCGGCTTGTGGAACTGGCAAGTTTGCTGTGAAGATAATTGAAAAGAGGAATATATGTTCCTTTCTGTGTTGGAAAAAAAGGAGTAAAGAGGGCTGGGATTTCCAAGAGCTTCTGAGCACATCCCAGTATGCTCTGTAGCACTTTGTGCATCTGCACATGCTGTAGGTTTCTCCCTCAGCTTGCAATTGTGTGAGACAAACTATAGTGGCAGCAACATCAGTTTTGAACAACTGAGCATTTTTTTTCTGAAGTTGGAAGTGTAAGTGAGATTCATACACTTCAAATCTCACTAGAGAGAATGGTAGGGAATAAGTATATACCAATCCTCTGCAGTTTGTGTGTTGTCTCTCAGTTTATTAATGTTGTTGCTGTAGTCTTGAGTTTTAAAGTATGTTTGAGTTTAAAAAAAAGCCACTCTGGCTGCATAATTCATGTTGAAGGCATTTGTGGAGTAACTACCTGGGTCTGGTCTAGGCTTTATGGCTGGTTAAAACTTGTACAGTGTTGATGAAATTGACATTAGGTATTGTGATTACACACAGTGGTCAGAATCCTGTTGCATAACTACACGGACACATCTTGATGGTTTAGCTGCAGTAGCTGTGGTAGCGCTTGAGGTGGAAGTGCTGTCTGTGAAGCACTTCTGCTGGCGCACTTAGCAGTTGGTCGTGCCAGCGATGCACAATCAGCACACAACGCTTGGTGCATTTCTGCAAGTATAACTTCATGATCTGCCCCTATGAACAGGATTGTCCATTGTATTTAAAGTGTATATAAATTGTGTGTTGTATTTAGGTTTAAGAAATTTATCCCCATACTGTATATTTTTTCTTTTCTACACCTTTGTATAGATGTGTTGGGAATCTAAATGTTGGAACAAAGCACTCTAATAGCCCTGTGTGTGAATTGTAAATCGTTCTTGAGTAAACCTCCTTGGACCAGAATAAGGGAAGAACTGAGTTCTTGAATTATGGTGATCTTGTTGTATTAATTCAGCAAGAGGGTAGGCAGTGGTTTAAAGGCACCAACTATGTGTTAAAGCAAAAAAAAAAACACCAATACAACAATTCATTCTCTAAAGCTTCTATAGCAGAGGCCTCCGACCCCTGGTCTGTGGGCTGGTGGTGGACCGGGCCGCGGAGACAGACTCCCCCGCACAGCAGATTTGTGCATGCGTGCACTCCAACGCACCTGTGAGAGCACTGTGCTGCCATTTGCGCATGCTTGAGTGCCCCACCACAAGCATCATGCCGCCGTTTGTGCATGTGCACGAGTGCGTGCCCAAACGAGCGCGTGCCTGGCCTTCCCCAGCCGGTCCGTGGCGTGAAAAAGGTTGGGGACCCTTGTATGTAACTGAGAAACAGGAAGGCGTATTAATGTGTCTTCTTTTGTTCAGCTATTCTGTTACAAAGTACAGTGGTGCCCCGCTTGACGATGTTAATCTGTTCCATTAAAATCGCTGTTAAGCGATATCGTCGTCAAGCGAAAGAAAAAGCCCATTGAAATGCATTGAAAACCGGTTCAGTGCATTCCAATGGACGAAATACCTCATTGTCCAGCGAAGATCGCCCATAGGGGAAGCCATTTTCGATTGCTGTCTTCTGGAAATAGGTCTGGAAACAGCGGGCGGCCATTTTGAAAACCCAACGATCAGCTGTAAAGATCGTCGTGGAGCGAAAAATCGGTTCCCGAAGCAGGGAACTGATCGTCATGAAGCAGATTTTCCCCATTGAAATATCGTTTTGCAATAGCGATCGCAAAAATCTCATCATTAAGCGATTTCGTAGTCTACCGGGGTAATCGTCAAGCGGGGCACCACTGTAAGTGTATTGCTTTAACAGGTGGCAGTTGTGTATTGTGTGGCACTCTAGTCTAGGTGACTATATTCTGCTTTTGTATTCACTACACTCTGAAAAATGTAATATGCAACTTAACTTTTCTCCCCTGCATGTGGTTGGTATGTGCTTTCCCTTATGAATTTACTTGCATTTTGATCTGCTAAGCTATTATTGGGTAAGTTTAAAAAATAGTCTGTACTTTGATGGGGAAGTTGTTGGGGATTCAAAATCAGGACTGAAATCCAATAGCAAGTTACTACTAGAGAAGGCCCATTGATTCAGTAGGACTCCTGGAGAAGTTGACTCACCAAATCACCACTAATCTAATGGGCCTACTCTAGTTATGAAACTCCTGGAGAAGTTGACTCACCAACTAATCTAATGGGCCTACTCTAGTTATGACTTACCACTGGATTTCAATCATTGTATTGTGGTGATTAGCTTGTAGATGTAGTGTAGGACCACTGCCAAAGATTTATGCCTATGTATACCATTTTGCAAGTAATGATTATACATCAGGGTTTCTACTAAAATGGGATTATAAATCTGTGCATGTGGCTTTCTTAATTAACCATGGTGGCGCAGCACTTAACGTCAGAGAAGAACTGGGAAGGCCAGGCTCTAATTCCCACTCAGCCATGAAGCTTGCTTAGGTGACCTTGAGACAGTTATTGTCACTTTAGCCTTTCTCACCATGATTTTGTGAGGACAGAATGGCGTGGACTCAAAGGTTATCTGGTGAGCTTCTTGGGGATGCATAGGATTAAAAACTAACAAAATAAAAACCTTATTTAATTTATCAAACCCTTGTTTTGCCATTGGGCTTTCTTGTAGTGTCTGACTGACAGTACCCTCTCAAGACCTCACAGGCCTTCCCAGCTGTGCTGCCTCAGATTCTTTTGCTGCAGTCATCCGCAGGTGCTGATGGCTGAATGTCCATGTGAAGGGTTTGTCCTTTCACCAAACTGTGTTCACGTTTTATCGGGGAGTCCCTTTCTCTGTCATCGGACCCTGCAGTATTGGCATTGTTATTTTGGACAAACATTGAAAGATGAGGCGTTCCATTATTTTTTCTTGAACAATGTGTGCAGAGCTCAATACATAATGCTTCATGCTAAGAATTCATAAATGGCATTCCAGTTCTGCCAATTTCCAGCTTCTGCTGATTGGTTTTCTGTTTCCTCCATGTTTTTGGTGCCTCTTACATGGATTTGGCACAGAGCCCGCTCGTACTTTAATACCGCACTTGTCTTATCTCTTTGGAAGCAAGTCTTAAGGCTGGGTGAGACTTGTTAGGCAACTTTGCATAGGATGGCAGTGTCTATCAAGCAGTCATCAGACGAACAGTGTTCTCTTTCTTTGCCAATTCTGAGTAGATCAGACTTTCGGGGGGGGGGTTGTAAACAATGGCGGTGATCTGTTTGGACATATGTGTCATACGCCAAGATTAGACAGTATTCGCAGCATACGAGATTCATGACCTTATGGCTACTTTGTTGAACCAATTTACTCCATCTAGTTTAAAAGTAGTGTTAGAATGCCTACAGTCCTAGAAAATGAACTGTGTTGTTGACTCTTAACCGAATCCTTATGTTAGCAAAAGGGTACCTCCACCGTCTACCCCAGATGCACTCCCCAGAATATTTCTCCAGTGCAGGAGACTGTAGCAGATTTAAGAGAGGTGGACAGAAGAGAGGAAGGGGAGTATTGTGTGAGATGAAGCATGCTTGTGTGACTTTGTCAGTAGCTTCTTATGTCTGTAAATTTCAAACAAGTGTTTGACTGGGTTTTATTGAGAAGGTGGATCATAAATGAGAAATTTGACATGGAGAAGTTGGGGATTAGACATCCCACTAGTTTCAGCACAACAATAAGAAAATTTGAAATTGATTGGAGTAGATCCACTGGATTACTGGGGTTCACATAAACGTAATATTCATTGGATTCAGTGGGTCTGTTTTTACTGGGACTACCAATTAGATTCAGGCCAAAATATCTAATGCCATTATGTGCCTGAATTCACTGGCACCATTGACAGAATAACCCACAGTCTACGTCATTGGTCTTAAAACTGTGTTGAAGTTATATATTGTATCTGTTTCATTATGGAACACAGGAAGAATTCTCAGATG